TATCAAGAATGCATTTATTTACAATTTGCTCACTAAGTTCGTATTGGGGCTTCTTCCATTTTTTATATAATAATTCTGAAATTACCCCCTTCATGTTTTCAGTTTCTAACACTTCTCTAGCACTTTCTCACAACTTGCTATACGTCTATTTTTTTTATCTATCTATCGAAAAAAATAATTAAACATTTCAGAAATATATTATGATGTAATAACTTTACCTACTGTCAACATGCGTACCTCAACTATTTTTGACCAATCTGATCGCACTAGAACTGGTCCAACGCTCGTCCGCTATGACGGCGCTGAGTCCGATGAATATTTAAGTGACTCAAGCAGTTATTCTGATCATAAATCCGATTCAGAATCAGATATTTATAATAACTACGAGTCTAATTATGAGTCTGATAATGAAAAAGCTCTCAGCGCTTCAACCAGCATTACTGAAACTCTATTAGTTCAGCTACCAAATGTAAAAGAACGAAAGACTACTATGACATATACTTTAAGGCAGGAAAAGTTCAATGATAATTTTTTCTCTAAAGATTTGCTAAATACCCTTTGAGAAATTACCTTATCATCACCTAGAGATATGTTAGACACCATAGGTTCTTTGGATGATCTTCCAATATATTCATTCCTCTTTCCGAATGAAAAAGGGTCTAGTTTATATAATGCTTATGACCGTGATAAGGTAGAAAATAAATTAGTCATTAAAATTGACCAAGATGATCGAGCTCCAAAGTTTTCTGTTGCAGATGAGATTTCAGAAGTATATGGTTTGCCCGGGATTCATGAATGTATTAATGGTCAAAAACCTTTAAGAGCCGTAATCGATATCGATGCTACACATGATGATATGAAAGCAAATGATGTTAAGTCTGATAGCGTATTCATCTGAATCTGTTGCTCTTTTATAAGAGCTTTATATCAAATTCTTGACTGCAGTTGGGAAGACATTCTCAAAGAATTGGTAATCGCTACATCATCAGACCCTAGCAAGTGTAGTTACCATATTTTATATGCACCAGTTCTACTTATTGATCATCACGATCTCAAAGCATTCACAGAATTGGTATATACCTTAACAGATGAAAAATATGGTAAGTTTATTGATCAAAAATTATCTGGTCGAAATTTTTAACCTTCGTCTTATCAGTTCAGCAAAAAAAGGATGTGTGAAGCGTATCCTTCAGTTTTCACTAGATAATGGGTGAAATGAACTTGATCACGTTAGAGTCCAACCACCCACTAGCTTAGGGCTTGAAGTAAGACCTCGAATGCTAAGTACAGAAAAAAATGATAATCCGCTAAGAATATCTGTAGGTCAGGATGTATTACAGAAATTCGCCAATCTAGTTTTGCAAAAGTATTCTAACTATCTTAGGGATTGGACTATCGAAGAAAAGGAAGAGACGAAAGAAAACTTTGTATATTTTAGCCGAAAAGCTCCACTAGAGTGTCCATTCTGCAAACGTATACATGACAAGGATCAGCGGTGGTTCAGTCGTGTATATGCTAGAAGTGGTGAATTCATCGTAAAATGTTTTCAGCAAAATAGTGATGAGCACGGGGAAGTTTTTGAATACGACCCATCTATTGCAGAAAAAATTCAGCAAGAAAATAAAAATTTACCACTCGAGGCAACCTTTCACAAGATAAAGGGTCCAGGATTTCCTAAAGCTTTCGTAAAAATTCCAACATGGGTCAAGTATAATGAAACCCTTACGGCTACAGAAATATATAAAGAGAGATATGTAAGACCATTACCCAATGAAAGTGATATTTATGTAGGGTCACCTTGGGAAACTGGAAAAACCTATGTTCTTGAAAATCTTACTATATCTGATGATGTAAATTTGCTAGTATTATCCACGCGTCACTCTTACTCAAATGCTGTTACTACAAGGCTTAATCTTAAGTCTTATTGTGATATCGATGGTAATATAAATTTACCTGATCATAAGAGGGTAGTATGTCAGATAGAGAGTTTATACCGTATTACTAATAATTGTAAATGCGATAAAAAATGCAAATGTCCTCCAACCCAATATGATTTATGGCTTGATGAAATAGTATCTATAATTGTTCAGGCACAAAGTCGTTTAGCAGGGCAATCGATAGAGAAATTGTATAAACTAATTCAAGAAGCGAGACATATTATCGTTATAGATAAGATAATGATCTTACCGATCTTAATATCGAATGGATTAAAGCTCTTCGCAAGTATAAACCATTTTCAATTATTCATAACACTTATCAGCCTCAGAAAGGTAAAACATT